GACGGAGAATCCGTCGGATCTCTTTCCGAATTGCTGAGATCTTTGCCTGAGGGAGTCGTAGAATGCACTGGGTCGCATCTATCTCGAACCCCAAAAATTGAACCACCTGCGTTGGTGTGAGGGCCGACTTCTCTCGGTTGACCACAAACCCCAGGGATTCGAACAAGGAGACCGCGAAGTGCGTCTGAGATTTCAGTCTGGAGGAGTCCTCGCAGAAGAGAAGCAGATCGTCCAGGTAGATCAAGCACCGAATGCCCTTTGAGCGCAGGCATGCTGTTATTGGTTTCAGGAGTTTGGTGAAACACCAGGGAGCCGAGCTGAGGCCGAAGGGGAGACATGTGAATTGGCATGGTCTCCCTTTCCAGATGAACCGTAAGAAACGTCGGCAACTGGGTTCCACCGGTACGGAGAGGTATGCGTCCTTCAGGTCTAGACGAGTGAACCAATCTCCTGGGTGAAGTAGGTCTCTTAAAAGATGAATGCCCTCCATCTTGAAGTGTTGGTAGGAAACGAAGGCGTTTAGTTTCCTCAGATTTATGACCGGTCGGAAGTCCCCTGTCTTTTTCCTGACTAGGAAAATCGAGCTGAAGAAGCCCCCGGCATCCGGCGCCCACTGCACTGCCCCTTTGTTGAACAGAGCTAGTATTTCGGTGTCTATCAGGACTTGCAGTGCCTTTGACGAGACTGGAGGCGAGGGGACCCTCTCCTGAATCGGGGTTGAATGGAAGTCTATAACGTAACCTCGGACGGTTTGGAGAATCCAAGCATCTGAAGTGATGTCCCGCCACCTGTCGAGACAAAAACGTAACCTGCCAGCATGCAAAAGACTGGGGGAAACATGAGATGTAACATGTCTCACCTGCGGGCATTCTGCCTCTACCGCGTGTCCGGTTCCCTCTGCCACGGTACGACCTCTGTGAGTTGAAGAATCCAGAGTGGTAGCTGGGGAAGAAGGCAGGTGGATGGGATCCTCGGTGGCTAGATGGCCAGAAGCGGCTGGAGGCACGACCCCGCTGCCTTCCAGCCCTGCCAAAAACACGAGAGGTATTGGTGCGGAACACCCTCCTCATTGAAGCTTGGGCTTTATTCAGGGTGGTGTAGAGGTTGACGTGCTTCTGGAGCTCCTTGATGAAAGGTTCCCCAAAAAGTAGGCCTTTCGCTAACGGTCCCAATTCCTTGGAACCCAACTCCGACAATTTGGAGTCCATGCACATAAGGACTGCCCTTCTTCGTTCCGTGCACAAAGCTACGTTGGAATTGCCCAGCAGGCAAACGGAACGTAGTGCCCAATCTCTTACAGCCGCAGCGTCCAGGGTGGAGCCCTGGGAAACAGCCTCATCCGCCAAGGTAAGGATCCGTGACAGCGGTCCTAAAATGTCCAGCACCTTATCCTGTGCCAGGCGGAGGTTGCGCTCGACCCCTTTCTTGGGATCGCGCCCGGTACGAGACAGGTATGTGGAGACCATTGGGTCGAATTCAGGCGTCTGATCGACCTTATCCGGTAATGTGGGTCTAGGGCACTCAGCCCTGAGTCTCTTCCACACTGCCCAATCGAGGGGTCTGCGGATCCAAAAATGTACGAACTGGGCTAGGTGGTCCGGTAGTGACCACTCAGGAGATCTGGGGTGCCGGATGGAGCGTGGATCAAATAAAGGCTCGCCTGACGAGTCCAGGAAAACGTCCTCCCCTAAGAAGGGGTGTAAATGTAGTGAGGCCTCTTCATCAGCGTCCTGCCAGTACGCTGAATCCTCCGGTTACTCTATGTCCCAGCCCCCTTCGTCCTCTGAGGGAGATCGATCTGGCCGCCATTCGTCTAGGACGGACAGGGGTGTAGGTGGGGGGAACTCTTCCTCCTCTCGAGGGAGATAATATCGTGGGTGTGTCGAAGGCGAGGCAATCGCCCCCTTGGGTCTTTTTGCAGGGGCCTTACCCTTCCAGGAACTCTGTTCCAGGTCTTCACCCTTCCAGTAGCGTTTGGGGGGGCGTGCCTGTTCTCCGTCTGGGGAGCCGGGGTCGGAATCCAACAGTGTGCGCTGAGTCTCCGGTACATCCCTGTCCTGGGATGGTCTAGGTAGTGCGCGTGAGAGTGCTTTCTCCACTGAAGCGGCAACGGCCGCGTTGATCATAGCCTGTAGGCTCTCTTGGGTAGAAGTGTCCATCTTGACCTCAGAGTGAGCCTGGGGGGTAGAAAAAACACGTGTCACCCGGATATATGGGAGTAATGGAGATTGGCGCTAGTGTATATGTGATCCCAGTAGAAGAAAACCTCTATATGTTATCTACGGCCAGCAGCCGTACGGGTCTAGGTGCCAAACACATATGTATGTAGTAGAGGTCAAACAGCCTTATGGGCACAGGTAAGGCAGGTCAATCTTATGGTCCAGACCGAGTAGGTCAATCTTATGGGCACTGCCAAGGCAGGCCAATCTTATGGGCACAGACTAAGCAGGCCAATCTTATGGGCACAGACAAAGCAGGCTAATCTTATGGGCACAGACAAAGCAGGCCAATCTTATGGGCACAGACAAGGCAGGCCAAACTTATGGACATAGAGCGCATAAATGACATAGGAGGAAGGTCAAAGAACAGAGAAATGCAGGTAAAATGGCCCCCCACAATAAACAGTATGACCACTGAGAAGGCACCTAAATCAGATATCTAAAAAAGGGGGGGGTGGGAGGGTCTGAGGTAAAAGACCCTGTCCCTTTAATATACTTCTGCAGGTTGGGGGGGGGTTAAATATATAGCACCTGTCCCTTTAAAAATACTACTGCAGAAAGGGGGTTCCCAGCTGGCTGGGGGGCCCCCTGAGCGCGCCGTGTGGGAGAGAGGCACGAACGGGTGGGGGAGGGGGCGGGAGTGTAGTGCTCCCTCCTCCACTCGGCGGACACACGCGGTCCGCGGGTGCTCCAGCCGCGACCGGCGGCCACGTGGGAACGGCTCCGGTCGGCGGGTAGAGCGCTCGCGGCAAGCACCCCGTGACCGGAGGGAGGGGGAGAGGCACGGGACCGCTGGAGACGTACTCCGCGGTCCAGCGGGTTCGGGAGGGTCGGGGGAGGCGGCAAACGGCCAGCCCCACGAGGCCCCTGTGGGGATATTTATGGGATAATAATAGTAACAGTTGAGAATTGCCCACTATTTCAATTCTCAGATCCCAAAGAACGTTTATCGTGTTAAGTGGAATGTATTTCATATAATTAATATCACCATGTATAAAAATAGATTTTTATTTATATGACAAATTAATTAATAATAATATTATGCAACATGCATGACAATAATCAATGAATATTCAGTATAAATTGGTATGCAATACAAAGGAATGGGTATTACGTTTCAATGGCTAAAACAGCATTATCTGTCAAGACTTATTTATTACTATCTTTAACACAGACTGAAAGTGAAACTTTTCACAGCGAAGAACAGAATTCCTCAGCGTAAGGTCGTAAAGTTTAGCAGACAGTTAGAATAACCCTTTCAATGCTGGCTAGATCTCCTAGGTAGTTAAGATCTATTCTTATGTAATTTTTAAATAAAATAACATTTAAACCAGTTTAAATTCATTTTCTTAAACCATCCAATAAGAGAATCTAACATTATATAAGCAGATTTTTAATTTGTCTAAAAGATATCTATCTTAATTTAGAGCAAATCAATACACCTGGATAAAAACAGCGGTATGCTAACACGTGATAATATCACATCAATATATAATTATTCTTAATTCCACCTGCAGAATGGAATATTTATAACTATATATTCTTAGTTAACTAAGATTTCTTAATATGGAAATCTGACCGTGCTTTATCCAGTCATATATAATGCTATTAATACATTTTAATTAATTTAATTTAATTAAATGAAACCAGTATAATTACCAGTTGAGTAGATATTTCATCCGATTGGTAGTCTCTCTGCATGGAGGTGTTGGTTAGAAAGTCAGTAAATTCTAAGTGTTAGAGTTTTAGGAGTAGAGTGTTAGTCTCAGATGTTGTCCGAGTTGGAGTCCCCAAACTTCCAATTCCTCTCTCCTCTCCTTTGCATATGTCCTGCATCTGCCTCCCCTCTCGTATCTCTCTATCTTCCCTTTGTCTTAACTTTTAAAGGGCCAGACTCCCTGTACGTCATCAGTTGATAACCCAATAGAAGCACTAGAGATGTGGTTATCTTCCAGATCGCAAATTAGTTATTTGGTCTGTAGAGGGCAGTCTTGTCCCACTAAACATACCTATCCAGGAAAGAGTTAACTTTTCCTGGTGACTATTTTGACGTCATTTTGCGTTATCTTTATAGTGCCATAATTTAAAATTTCAAAGGATTTCTTAAATTTTGTCCAGACTTAGCGTCTGCAATTCCTGCCATAATTTCTGATATGACAGATCATGAACTAAGTTTACCCTTTTCCATACAATGGTACCTTATATATATAGACAGTTAAATATTAAATTTAATCTTCTCTGTCACAATTGTCTGGGTTTAGATTTGATTATATTCCATTAGCATTAGACAGTCTGTCCAACCCCCTTCCTTATCACTTGTTTATACTATGCATTCCTTAGCTCTGGCAAAGAGGCCAGTCTTACAGAAAGAAATCTAGTGTCTTCTTTGTTAATTTGGAATAACAAAATGGAGTCTGGTCTGTTCAGAGTGACTCAGAATATACACTTTTAGTTTCTATCATAGCACAAAAATGTCTGCCGATATAAATACTCTGACATAACCCCCCTTTAGTGCATTTCATAGCCAAAATTAATTTAGCTTATGAATAAGCACTATAGAAGTTACCAGACATATTGTGCAATCACATCATTTCTAACATAGGCCCGTGCGTGGAATGAACATTTTTGTATATATTTGTACCTGTAAAAGTTTTGAACTTTACACTTAGTACAATCAACCATAATATCATTATTACATAGTACATTGTTTTCATTTGAAAAATGTCTTTGGGAGTTACATATGGTATGGTCAATAAAAAGCAAATCTCCATACGTTCCGGATCAATTAAGAGAGGTATAGCGCTCCCCATCTCAAAGGCCAGATTTAATTGCATAGGCTCAATTGTCTCTCCATCCACATTGGCAAGCATCGCATGAACAATATCCTTGGATACAAAATACAGAGGTATGTGTCCCCCTGCCAATTCGATCATTCCAGTTTGCACTTCGTCAAGAAAAGCAAGTGTGTGGAACAATATTGGGTCATGCAGAAATAGAAGTTCACGCTTAAATAAGTCATGACTTTGGTGCAACTCAGTGGATTTGGCAATTAACTCCGAATGCAAATTTGTTGTAACAACTGTGTCTTCCACAATAGTTAACACGTCTTGGAGAAGTGTTCTTTGCTGGTTTATCACCTGATGAATATCGTTAATGTGTTGCTTTAGCGCATAGATTTCCATATCCAGCTTTTGGACAGTAATAGAGTTGGCTGCAGACATTCCAGTTGCGACAACTGCACCGACAGTGGCACAAACTAATGCAACAATTATAGCGGTGAGGAACCTTTTGGGTCGGTTGCTCATCGGAATAGAACTGGATACAAATGGTTTCCGGGCTTGCTCCAAGATGTTTCGCACACGGTCCTGTGCTCTTTGGAGGTGCATCTGGTACCAAGTCTGTAACTCAGGAAGCTGCATCGATGAAATGTTGTATGCCTTCTCGATGGAAATCTTGGGGTCCAAGCTGACGAACACACGTCGGGTCAGGATCCTCTTCTCTGTCAAGATGAACCCTGGTGTCTCTTGAATCAGGATGCCGGAGGATGGTCCCATCTCTGCGATCGGGTCGGTCCGTAGCTCTTGGCACAGGAGCAGTACGATCCAGAAACACGCCACATCCTTCTTGGACATCTTTCGACAGTCACGGATCAGGAACTCGTTTCAGACTTATCTACTAATGATTCAAGGTTTGTTAAGCATACAAACTTATAACAGTGTGACATCACTTGGCCTAGGACAACACATTATTACGATTCATCAACATATGTATTCTGTCTAATTCTATTTTTATAACTTCATCCCTCACTACATTTATTACTGACTCTTCAGCAATTTGCCTATAGCATTTAAACAAGCTAGTAACCTGCTTATAAAATGTAGTTATTGGATGGCAAGGAAATGGTTAATGACATGAACGTACATGAGATCATGGCACATCACAACAATTCACATCATACGATACCACGTGAATCAAGCATTCATCCAGGTTAGTCGTTCACCCTTCTGCATCCGAATCCACACCTATAATCCTTAATTGAGATTTAGGATGACAAGCACGCAACTGGTTAATGTGAACCCACTTTTCAATAAAATCACCATCCTTAGGAATTTTTATCTTGTACGCTACTGGGGAAATTTTATCAATAATGACATATGGCCCTTTCCAAGAAGGTAAAAATTTCTTTTCCTTTACTTGATTTCGCGCAAAGTTATACAGATAGATTTGATCTGTTATCTCATATTCCTTTTTCGTGGTTTTTAGATCGTAATAGGTCTTAACCCCTGTCGCTGCTTTTTCTAGATTCTTTTGAGCAAAAGCAAATGCATGCTGTAAATGCTTGCGCAAATCTTCGATATACTGATGCGTAGTGGCAGCATTGATCAAGTTATGATCCGAAGTACGATATAGTAAATGCTGTGGTAAAACCATCTTTCTTCCTGTCATCAATTCAAAAGGTGACAATTTGGTAGCAGTGCTAGGTGTAGCTCTAATCGCCATTAAAACTAGGGGCAATTTAATGTCCCAGTCTTTACCAGACTCCTTAACATACTTCTTCAGAATATTAACGATAGACTGGTTATATCGCTCTACCCCCCCGCTAGACGCAGCGCGGTATGCAATATGTAGCTTTCGTTTAACACCTAGAATGTTCCACATCTTAGCCATTACTTCGCTGGTAAAATGACTACCTCTGTCTGACTCAATTCTTTGAGGCAGACCGAACCTGGAAAAGACATGGTTAATCAACAAAGTGGCGCACACGGTACTCGTGTTCTCTTTACAAGGCAAACATTCTATCCACTTTGTGTACATACATGTAACAGTTAACATGTATTTGTTACCTCTTGAAGATCTTGTTACAGGACCTATAAAGTCAATTTGAATATCAGACCAGGGTAATGACACCCCCCTCTTCTGAAGTGGTGCACGATGGGTTGGACCATGGGGTTGATATTGCGGACAAATCAAGCATCCCTGACAGTATGTCTTAACATCCCTTAACATATGTGGCCAATATGCATAATCACGCAATATCTCATATGTGATCTTATCACCACGATGCCCAGATGTAGGTGCATCATGTGCGTGTTGGAGCATTAACCCTCTGTATACAGTTGGGACTACCCATTGTTCTATACCATGTTTAGAAGTTCTGACCAGCAACCCATCCATGATACTAAATTGGACTTTATATCTCATCAAGATTCGTAAATCTTCATTATCTTTGCAATCCTCATCTGTGATGGGATTGGTAGTAGGGTCTTCTATATGTTTATAGAATATGCCTATGACGGGATCATTCTTTTGGCTAGTAATCAGGTCCTCACTAGGAGCTTCTTGACTCCATTGCACGACATTTAAGTCGGCATTATCTCTAGCCTGTCGTCTAGTTATGGCTTCAACATGAATTGAACCCATAAGATCATCAATGTTTAGGGTTTCACCATTGATGGTAGCTTGTTTTGCCAGTGAATCGGCTAAGTCATTACCATCCTTGTCAATACCTTCTATTTTAGAATGGCCTTTGGTTTTCTTCCAATATATGGTTAAACCATTTTCCTTAACCAGTTCATCAATTTTACAAAACAATTTCCCATGTTTAACAGGTTTGTTATTGCTTTTCAGCATTTGGTTACGTTTCCAGCTAGGCAGATATTCGACGAAACTGTTGCGAACATAGTTGGAATCAGTTATAATAACAAATTCTTTGATACCATATTCTATTGCCATTTGAATGGTCTTATATACTGCACAGAGTTCGGCTATCTGACTGCTTTTGGGACCAATACTGTATCCTATAGATACATTGGGATAATCACCTGTCCAGGCGATTCCGATACCTGCAACTAACTTCCGTTCTGCACCAACTACGTGGTGATATGAACAACCATCAATGTATACCCACGGTAGTGGTCGACAGTATCCCTCGTCATAAACTTTATAAGGAGATAGCAATTGCTCTTCTAGGAAGTCATCTCCGGTGTCATTATCATCCAGAGATGGAGCAGTACAGTCATGTAATTCTGCTAAACCTTGGGCAACTGGGCTTCTCTTATTATGTTTATAACGGACTTCTAACGGCCATCCCTGTAAGGATAGAGTCCATGCAGTAATCCGACTGTTAGAGAGATTACCGTCTCTAATTCTTTCACTCTGCAGATACTGTAGAGGTTGGTGAGCTGTTTCTACAATTATTTTCTCACCTTGGATATAGCTACGAAAATTTTGTAGTGCCCAGACAGTCGACAATAACGCCTTCTCACACGTGTTGAATTTAACTTCAACAGGTGACAAAGTCTTGCTAGCATATGCAATAACTTTGTTTAAACTGTCCTGCTTCTGATACAGAACAGCACTTATGCTTAAATCGGTATATCCTGTCTCCAGATAGAAGGGTTTACCCCCCTCTGGGTATGCTAAACAGGGTGCCTGAGTGAGCTTCCTCCTCAGTTCACTTACCGCTTGGTCCTGAGGCTCCCCCCAGTTCCAGGTAGTTTCCTTTTTAAGCAGGTGTAAGAGTGGTTTAGTTATTTCTGCATAGTTATCTATAAACTTACGGGAGTAGTTAGTCATACCAAGGAACGATCTTAATTCCCTGATGTTTGAAGGTGTTTTAGCCTTTAGTACGGCTTCAACCTTCTTCCTCTGGGGATTTAATCCTTCAGAAGTTACCTCATGTCCAAGGAAATTGACATGGGTGCGACACCATTGTGCCTTTTGTAAAGACAGTTTAATCCCTGCCTCTCTTAACTGAGTGAGAACATGTCTAATCTCTAAGATATGCTTATCAAAGGAAGTGCTTTTCAGCAAGACATCGTCGACATATGATAACGTTCCTCTCTCGAGTGCGTCAGGCATAGCTTTATGCATGAACACAGCGAATTCATGACCAGAGTTTATATAACCGAAAGGCATACGGGTCCAGGTATACTGCTGCTTTCCAAATGTGAAGGCCAATTTGTATTGGTCTTCATTATGGACTGGTACAGTCCAATATCCCTGCGCACAGTCAATGGCAGTGAATATTTTGGATCCCTGCATTTGTACCAAACATTGGTCTATGTATGGTGTTGGCCAACCAGACATATAGACGCGTTTATTTAGCTGTCGTAAGTCAGCGCATAAACGCCATTGTCCATTAGGTTTCAGAATCCCCAAGATCGGATTATTATACGAACTGTGCACTGGACGTATAATGCCCCTTTCCTTTAAATTCTGAATGATGTCTTGTAGACCATCATATGACGCTAATGGGAGTCTATATTGTTTGATAAATACAGGTGGTAAATTTGGATCAGTTTGTATTCTGGCTACGTGGAGGTTAGTTAACCCACAGTCGTAGGAATCTTTGGCAAAAATATCTTGGAATTCCAAAAGGATTTCCTTTAGCTGTTGCCGCTCAGCATCGTTGGAGCAACCGTCAGCTAAAGATATTTGCTCTTCTAGCCTTTCCTGAAATCCTGGAAAGATTTCAGGCTGGCCTATCTCGTAAGCTTCTTCAAGCCTAGAAGTTAGGTCAGTTCGGTGTTGACTTACCTTTTCTCTTTGGTCGTGATACTCTTGTGATTCCTGCTCATTGAGCGGATGATCGAAGGTAATTGATGCTTCTTCGATTTTACACGAGCCTTCTTCAACGTTGAAGGGATATACAGATAGGATAGTGAATAATCCTTCTGGGGAGGAATGGAATATTTGATCGACAATTTCGTCCTCAGTTAAGTATTCTTCAGGGATGAGGCCTATAATTTGGTTTTGGAAACCAAATGTATAGTACTCAGCATCCAATGCTAGACCTAATAATGTTCCTTTTGGTAAAGTAACACTATTGGGTGTAACATTGTTGACCATGATATAGGTGGGATTCTTACCAATACTTACCATTGGTGTATGTGTTACCACCATCCCTAATTGTTGTATCCTGTTGGATAAACAGATTAGGGCATCAGAGTTTTCTAATCTCTGACCCTCCTTGACCTGTAGGGGTAAAAGAAAATTACTTGTCCCCTGTGGAATGGTTATGTCATCAGGAACTTGGATACTTACCGCATATGGGAGTATTTGTCCTGATTTCAGGGCGTTTTCCTCGTGTAGGTATCCACAAGGATTACCTTTTAACCTTGTCCACAAATTGGAATTAATCAGGTCAAGGTGTATGGCAAAACGATGTATGACATCATTGCCAACGTATACCTGATAGCGAGGTTCGTCTATCACTAAGAATAGATGTTTAATGGTCTTATTTCCGATGGAAATAGATAGTAAACATTTTGCTATCACATTGTGGCTCTCTGATTCGCCATCCAGATTCTGGATCCACCTGTCATGTGGGGAAGCGTACCTGATCATTTTAGGATTAGCGATCTGCTTTAACAGACTTCTGCTAATATAGCTGTTCTCACTCTGTAAGTCCAGCTTTGCATTCCTACTTCTTCCTAAGTCATTTATTTGCATAGGAAAGAATAAGTTGTTATTAACCCTTTCAATTCTGGCAAGGAATTGAGCATGACCTGCCAGATCTACAGATTCAACATAGTCCCTGTGGAGAGAAATGGTTAAAACATCACCTTCCAGAGAGACATTCTGGATCCTCTCTGGAGCAATTCTTATGGAATGCTCATCTACAGGTGCG